TTGGGGAGCTCCACCCACCCACCCCTCAAGTCCTGAATTCAGAATTTTAGACAGAAGATGATACCAAGCTAGTCACATTGCTTTATTTTGTTTGAAATTTGTTTAGGAATGAATAACCACCTATCTAAAATGCTCCCATTTTCCTTCTATATGAGTGAAAGTAAGATTCCTTCTGGAATAAATATTGGAGGGAGAAAGTGAGTTAATTTAGGAAAAAAAATCATTAAGTATAATATAATGCATGCGATACACAGAGGTGAAAAGTCTGGGAAACATGTACAACTAACAACAAAATTTGTAGCTAGTCAGAAAGGGAAATCCTACATCAAAACCAGTCTTCAAAATAACAGTAAATTAGGGGCCAGGGAGATGGCTCAGTGGAGCAAGCGCTTCCCTGGCAAGCACAAGGACCTGAGTTCAATCCCCAGTTCTAAAAAAAAAAAAAAGTAAATATAGATAGAATTTGTTGTGGTACATGCCTGTAACCCCAGCACTTAGGAGGCTGAGGCAGGAGGATCATTGTGAGTTCCTAAGTTACAAAATGAGTTCAAGGCCAGCCTAAACAGCATAATGAGACCTTGTCTCAAAAAGATAGGGGAAAAAAAAAAGGACTGAGGGTGTAGCTCAAGGGTAGAGTGCTTCCCTAACATGCCCAAGATCCTGAGTTCAATCCCTATAATACCATAAAAAAGTATGCATTTATTCATTTATTTTTCATGATATGAAAGACCTGGCACATGCTAGACAAGCACTTGAACACTTGTTTCAGCTAAGCTTCTCTTAACCAAAACAAGAAGGTCTGAGAAATATCCCCTGAGAGCAGCATCGTTTGATACCTAATCAATACGGAAGGTGATGGGGGGGGGGGAGTGTGAACCCATATATGTCTTTGAAGTCAGCGAGGAAGTAAATTCTTCCACTTAAACTTTGCCAGAAGAAAAAAGAACTTGAAGGAGGATGGATGGACATAACTATACTAGCGGTTGCTTCAGTCCTAATAAGCTGGTGTCTTCCTACTTAGTCCAAAGGCCTGAGCCCCAACAGTGAGCCCAGAAGTACTCTGTGGAGCTGCCTCACCAGCGAGGAGTGTGAGGAAGCCAGGAGGGCGAACAAACAGAGGCAGCCAGCGAGGACACTGACAGGGCCACTCCCTGACCCTGTTCTCAGGGAAAAAGTGTTCACAGAAACAAATGACCCAAAAAAATTTTGGAAAGAAGTCTCTCCCAAGACAGCAAGTTGCCCAAGGAGTCCCTGGTGCTCTCCCCATGAGTCTTTGTGTCCCTGCTGTATACAGAATATTTGTGTCCCCCACAAAATATGTATGCTGAATTCCAGCTTCCCTATCATAGTATTTGGGGGACCTTCATTAGGTCATGGGGTCAGAGCTTTCATAATGAGATTAGTTCCCTTATAAAAAGAGAAACCAGGGAGTCCCCCAGTTAGACACCATGTCTGTTGGGACCTTGATCTCAGACCTCTCAGCCTCTGCCCTGGGAGAAATTAATTTTTTTGTGGGGGGGGGAATGTACCCAGAGATTGAACTCAAGACCTTGTACTTGCCAGGCAGGCACTTGTGCCACTGAGCTATTTTCCTTGTCCCCACGAAATGAATTTCTGTTGTTTATAAACTACTCAGCCCCTGGTATTCTGTTACACTATCCTGAATAGACTCTGACCATCCCCAAGTCTTTCCAGCTTGATACACGGGGGAATGATTTCCTCAACACACAGTGCAGACCTGGGTGAGAGGTCCCTCATCCACTGACATGTTGGTTTTGGTTTTTCTTCTTTGGCAGATTTTATGCTTTTTAAAAATTTTTATTTTATGCTTTGATTGAGAGACAGGTACCATTTTCCAATGTGCTGTGATATGCTCACAAAAGTGAGACAATAGCCCAGAAAACCAACGTGATGACCTCTACTCCCCAGCCTCGTGATGCTTATGCTTTGGCTTTGGTGTGGAGCAATCATGTGGCCAGCGGATAAATTCTACTATCCAAGTGCAAGGGCCTGAGTTCAATCCCCAGTTCTGCCAAAAATAAATAAACAAACAAACAAATTCTGCTATCATAGAGTTCCTGTCTCAGTTACTTTTTTCTCGTTGTGGGGACAAAATACCTGACACCCAAAATTAAGGAAAGAAAGGCCTATTTAGCTCAGAGTTAGTGGAGGTTTTAGTCCATGCTCTGTTGGCTCTAAGGCAGAGCGGCACATGGCAGAGGGCGGCCATTCATGGCAGCAGAAAACAGCAAAAGACAACAGGAGGAGCAGCAGCTGTGGCAGCTAGCAAGCCTCTCCCCTCCTTACACTGTAATACAGATTACCCACCCCAGCGCGGGGGTAGCACTCATACCCATAATCCCTGCATTGGATCATGAGTTAATCGCAAACTCTAGAAGCTGCCTATTGACTACATGAGAATTTTGGGGGGACACCTAGATACAAACCATAATAGGTCCCATCATCCAAACTCCCCAAGAGCACCATATTCAGTCAAAGGACACCAGGAAGCTACAACTCAGCTCTGTAAATTCTGAATTTTGACTCCAAGGCAAACATCAAGGTGACACTAACAATAAAATCTCTATAAAGCAGCAAATGAAAGCAGAGAACCCAGGGCCTTGCTTGTGCCAGGCAAGTGCTCTACCACTGAGCTACATCCCCACCCTGAAAGAGTCCTTTAGTGGTCAGCTGGCACAAAGAGAATCTCTATCCCTGCTTCAAAAATCCAGGGCCAAGGATATAGCTCTGCAGCATGGCACTTGTCTGGCAAGCACAAGGTCCTGAGTTCGATTCCCACTTCCAAAAAATGGAAGTCCAGGCACTTTTAGTAATGGCAATGACTCCAACAATCGGAGAAATAAAGAACCTCATGACCACAGAGCTAGCTGTGTTGCATCAAAGGTAAAGGCCAGGTCCTGGCCTCCGTGCGGGCTCTTATCAGAGGGCAACAGAAAGGTCAGAGATTCAAGAGCAGGAAAACTGGGCATGGTCCCAACTCTGCTGTGACCAACTGACCTTGGACAAACCAAACCCTGTCTGCACCTCTCCTGCCCTGCCTATTGCCAAGAAGAGAATAATGTTTGTTATCCAGGTCAGGAGGCTCAGAGCAAATCAGTAGATCAGGGGAAGAATGCTCAAGGGTATATATAGCAACTAGATGTGAATCTCAAGGTGGTAGAAACCAAGCTGTCGTTCTGTCCTTGTGGTTCTGGTTATAACCACCCTGGAACTCTTCAAACTTCTCACCTATTACCTCTTTTTAAAAAAACCAAAAAAACAAAAACAAAAAAACCAGGCTCTTGCTTCATAGTTCAGGCTGCCTCTGAACTAACTACATGGCCCAGGCTGGTCTCAAACTTAAGGCAATCCTCCTGCCTCAGCCTCCTGAGTGCTGGGATTACACCTATTACTTGAATTCTTTCAGCAACTCTGAGGGGAAGATAGGAAAGGTAAATAATAATTACCACCATTTTACAGGAGAGAGAGGTCAGATGTACGGTCCAAGGGCCTTCTCCTGAATTTTACTGGGGATTGAACTCAAGACCTTGTGCTTGCCAGGCAAGCACTTATTCTACTGAGCTATCTACCCAGTCCAAGGGCCTTCTCTTGAAGCCAGCCAACAATACTGCGTAAGCATCTTCAAAACTAGTGCTAAGGTGGCTGGGGGTCCTTCTACAAAAGAACTGCTAGGAAAAGAAAGGGAGGTGTAGGGAGTCATACCAGTTAGTAAACTTAAGGCCTGTCAGCTGATACAAGGGATGAGGGCTCTTTCTGGGGTTATAAAAATGCTCCAAAGTTAAATTATAGTGGTGGTTTCACAACTCTGGAAATATGCTGAAAAGCACTTGTTTATACAGTTTAAACAGGTGAGTTCTGGCTGGAGATCTAGCTCGGTGGCACAGCATCTCCCAGGCCACTGCAGGGTCCTGACACCAAAAAAA